AAAAAAAAAAAAAAAAAAAGTGACGTTCATCAGTTTTTCCCTACTGATTTGTAGCAAATTCTTTGTATAAGATGGATATGAGCATTTTGTTAGTTATATGTTTTGCAAATATTTTCTCCCCATCTATTCCTTGCATTTTCCGGGTCTTGAAGTCTAACATACCAATCTTTTCTGGTTAATGTTTTTTTTTTTTTTTTCCTGTGACCAGTTTAAGAAATACTTTTCTACCCCAAGGTCATGATGAACTTTTCTATCACTGTCTTTTCACATTTAAATTTACATCCCACCTAGAATTGACTTTTGTGTAGGGTGTGAGGCAGGCATCAAATTTCCTTCCTTTTTTTTTTTCCCAATGCAGATATTCAATTGTCCCTGCACCATTTGTTGAAAAGATCATCCTTTCCCCTGTTCTATAGTGTCTCCCTTGTGATAAATCAGGTGTCCCCCCTGTGTCTGGATCTGTTAATGCTTGCTGTTCTGTTCCATTGGTCTATTTATCCACCTTGGAGTGAATATCACTATGTGTTATGACTGTAGCTTCCTAGTATAGTCTTGAAATCCGCTGGTGTAAATGCTTCCACATCGTTCTTCTCTTGAATTGCAGTGGCTACTCCAGGCCCCTTGCATTTCTATATAAAGTTTAGAATTATCTTGTCAATTTTCACACACACACACACACACACACACACACACACACCTTTCTGGGATTTTGGTTAGGATTTCATTGAATCTGTAGATCAACTTGGGGAGAGTTGGCAGCTTAAAAACACCAAGTCTTCCAATCCATGAACATAGTATATCCCTCCCATTATTTAGCGCTTTAAAATTTTTTCTCAGCGACGTTTTGTCCGTTTTAGTTTAGGGAGCTTTCACATCTATTGTTAGATTTATTCCTAGGTTTTTGATATCTTTTGGTGCTACTGTAAGTGGGATTTAAATTTTAAAAAATTTCCAGTAGTTTGTGGTTAGTGTATAGACACACATTTGATTTTTGTTTACTGATTTTGCATTCAGGGATCTTGTTAAGTTCACATGTTTACTCTAATAGTTTATCTCTAGACTATTCTGGATTCCCTACATTATAGTCATCTCAGCTGTGAATTACCTCAGTGTAATTTATTTCTTTCCAAACCTGACACTTTTTTTTTTTTTTTTTTTTTTGACGGAGATCAGCCCTGAGCTAACATCCATGCTAATCCTCCTCTTTTTGCTGAGGAAGACCGGCCCTGAGCTAACATCTATTGCCAATCCTCCTCCTTTTCTTCCCCAAAGCCCCAGTAGATAGTTGTATGTCATAGCTGCACATCCTTCTAGTTGCTGTATGTGGGACGCGGCCTCAGCATGGCTGGAGAAACAGTGTGTTGGTGCGCGCCCGGGATCCGAACCTGGGCCGCCAGCAGCGGAGCGCGCACACTTAACCGCTAAGCCACGGGGCCGGCCCCAAACCTGACACCTTGAATTTCTTTTTCCTGTCTTATTGCACTGGCTGGGACCTCAGTGTGGTGTTAATTAGTGGCGAGAGTGGACATGCTTGTCTCCTTCCCAGGCTCAGAGGCACAGTCTCCTGCCTTTTAAGATCCTCAAAGGACCCTCATTCACTTCAATCACAGCACACTAAGATCTATTCAAGGGCTTCATTAAATATAATTTTTACCGTGAATTTTTAAAGGATGTTTCCCTAAATTTTTGCTTTTAAAATTATTACTCGTTTTGAGTCTCTGTGTTTTTTAAAACTTTGGAGCCAATATGTTTTCAGGCTGTGTATTAGTCTGCCCAGGCTGCCATAACCAAGTACCACAGACTGAGTGGCTTAAACAACAGTTTCTGAGGCCTAGAATTCTGAGATCAAGGTGTCGGCAGGGCTGGTGCCCTCTGAGGCCTCTCTCCTTGGCATGTAGACGACCGTCGTCTCCCTGTGTCCCCACGTGGTCGTCCCTCTGTGCGTGTCTGTGTCCTCCTCTCCTCCTCTTATAAGGACCCCAGTCATATTGGATCAGGGCCCAACTTAATGACCTCATTTTAACTTGATCACCTCTGCAAAGACCCATCTCCAAATAAGGTCACATTCTGAGGTCCTGGGGGTTAGCGCTTCAATATATGAATTTGCAGACGGCAGGGGTGGGGGACACAGTTCAGCCCATAACAGGCTGCACACTTTTTAATTGATCCTACACAGAGGTAATTCACAAACACCCAGGCATTATCCATTCCCACTGAGCTGTCACCAGACACCCGGACGTAACCACTTTCCATATAAGCACAAAAGGGATGCATAGCTCATGTGAAGAGTTGGGGCAGTTTTGGGGGTCACAGAGGGGCATGGCAGGCTCAGCGTCCTCTCCTCCTGGCCCTGCTTGGGCCAGCCTGGGTGCAGGAGGCCTGAATGTGGTAGGGAGAAGACCTGGCACCACTCTCTCCCACATGCCCCCAACCCAGCTATTCGCCTCCGTGGGGTGGTCTTTTGTGCCTGCCCGGCCCGATGCAGAGGGATGGCCAAGTTGAAACCCAGCAAAGCATCCTTGTTACTGGGGTCCCAGATCCTAGCCGGGGCTCTGCATTCCTCTGGCATCCATATCCGACTTCCAGACAATGAGGTTTGGGGTTGGTGCTTCAGAAGTGCATACACGACAGCCACACACCCACCCAGACACACACACAGATGCCCACACATGCACACCTGCACACACAAAGTCACATGCAAGTACACACCCACACCAATGCACACACATGTGCAGGAGCACAAGCCACACACGTGTGCACATACAAACGCACGCGCACACGCATGCATGCATGCACACACATAAGTGCATACACGTGTGCACACCCAAACACACACGCCTGCACACACACGGGCCATCACGGAGGTCTGAACGACACTGGTGCCTGTTCCTGGTGGAAGGCGGGAGGGCAGGCAGAGCAGAGGTTGCTGTGGGGAAGAAGGGGGGACAGGAGGGGCCGGAGGGGTGGGGGTTGTCCACGGGCGCGCCCTCTGTGGATAAATGCATGGAGGGAGGAAGGAGTAATCAGAGGGGCCAAGGGAGCGAGAATAGGCTGGGTGTGTGTGGGGCAGGGGGCTCTGGGATGGGAAGGAGGGGTGGTGCCGGAAGGAGGGGAGGGGCTCTGGGAGTCGTCTGGGGGGGAGCCCCGCCCCACAGCCGCCCTGACCCTCCTGGGCCGTCCCTCCCCAGCACTACGCCAGCCTGGTCATGAGCCAGGACCCCTACAAGGTGACCACGTTCGAGAAGTGCTGCGCGGTGGCCATGCAGTGGCTGTGGAGGGACGCCGGGGTCCGGGCCTGCTATGAGCGCCGGCGGGAGTTCCAGCTGCTCGACTCGGCCGTGTAGTGAGTCTGGGGTCCCGGGCGATGGGCCGGGGGCGGGGAGCGAGGCGGGCACTGGGCACAGCCGTGGCCGAGGCGCAGCCAGTGAAGACCCAGTCCCGGGGGAGGTCCCCCCGCGCAGATGTGCTGCGGGGATGGTCTTGCTCCAGGGTGATGTCGTTCCTGGGGGGACACTGTTCCTGGACTGGCCCTATTCCTGGGGTGACGCTGCCCCAGGGTGACACCATTTCTGGGGTGACATGTCCCGGACCGGTGCCAGGCGTCTAGGGTGACCTGACAGCTGCTGCTCCCAGGCCCTCGCTGTTCTTGGGACAGTGCCACTCCTGGGGTGACAGCTCCCCCAAGGTGACACCCCTCCCCAGGGACTGTTCTCGCCGTCACACTGTCCTCGGGGTCACGCTGCTCTGAGGGTGAAGCCACTTCTCCCCAACACCCCCATGGCCTCGGGGTGCTGCTCCTGGGCCACCTGCAGACCCCAAGATCCTGACCCCTTCTCAAGGGTTTCCCGCCCCCAGCAGGGTCCTCGCTGGGCCCTGGGTGGGGGGTCTGAGAAGCTAAGGGAGGCTGCCAGGCCAGGCCTCAGGGATCCTCGCCCCACAGCTACCTGTCCCACCTGGAGCGCATCACCGAGGAAGGCTACATCCCCACGGCGCAGGACGTGCTCCGCAGCCGCATGCCCACCACCGGCATCAACGAGTACTGCTTCTCCGTGCAGAAAACCAACCTGCGGTGAGCGCACAGCCTGGGGGCTGGGGAGGCTTCCTGCGGGAGGGGCAAAGGATCTGGGGACCTGAGGGATGAGTAGGAGTTTCCTAGTCCTAGCCCTCAAGGGGCTTCCAGGATGAAGGAGGCAAAGCTGGACACAGACACCTCCGGTCCCCCATGCAGTTAGGACTGGGACCTGGAAGAGCCCAGAGTGAGGCACCAGAGCTCTAGTAGGAGAGGTCTTCCTGGAGGAGGGGACATTGTTATTAGGGCATTGAAGGATGAATAGGAGTTTACCAGTGCCCACCTTTAAGGGGCTGCTGGGCAGAAAGAGACAGACATTGTGGATTGACTCAGGGCTGGGAAGCTCAGAGGGTGACCCATCCAGTGGTCAGTGAGGGGGCCAGGCTGGAGGTCAGGAGACTCAGAAGGAGGCAGAAGCCAGGGTCCAGGCAGGAAGGGCTGGTAAGGGCCAGGGCAGTGGAAATGAGGGGATGGTGCAAGAATTGTTTGTGATGGTGAATGGGCAGGACCAGATGAGTGTGGGAATTGGAGCAGAGTCATAAATGGCTCCCAGGGCCGGCCTGGTGGCTTAGCGGTTAAGTGCGTGCACTCTGCTACTGGTGGCCCGGGTTCAGATCCTGGGCGCGCACCAACGCACCACTTCTCTGGCCGTGCTGAGGCCGCGTCCCACATACAGCAACTAGAAGGATGTGCAACTATGACGTACAACTATCTACTGGGGCTTTGGGGGGAAGAAAAGGAGGAGGATTGGCAATAGATGTTAGCTCAGGGCCGGTCTTCCTCAGCAAAAAGAGGAGGATTAGCATAGATGTTAGCTCAGGGCTGATCTTCCTCACACACACACACAAAAATGGCTTCCAGATTTCCCATCAACATGGCCGGGTAGATGGTGGAGCCACCATGGGGCTGGCAGGGTGGGGGGTGTTAGCGAAGACGCTGAAGTCATTTAGGCAGGTCTGAGGGGTCTGGAGCATCTGGGAAGCGGCTGGACACACACAGGCCTGAGCTGGAAGGCAGAGGTATGGGTGGCCAGTGCAGCAAGGGGTCGTCCAGGGAGAGTGAGGGCCACTGTCAGAGGCCAAGGAGAGGTCAGGAAGAAAACAGTGAGAGAAGTGACTTCTAGGACCATTAGAGGGTCATGGGTGACCTTAGCAAGGTCCATGTCTGGGGGCTCATGGCGGGGAGCTGTGGAAGGTGCGGGAGACAGGGGTTGTGTTCAACCCACCCCTGTTGAGTCCCTCATTTCCCTAGACCACCTCCCACCCAAAACATGCTGTTCTGGCCTCTTGTCATGCAGTAGTCTTCACCAGGAAAGTTCATAATTTATCTGTTTGCCGTGGGTCTCCTCCACTAGATGGAGAGCCACACCAGGTTAGCGGGTGAGTTTGATTCTCCTGCTTCAGTAGTGATCTGCTCAAGGTCAGAGTGGATGTTGGTAAATGTGCAAGGATGGTGGGAAAGATGGAAGGATGAATGGGTGGATGGGTGGATGGATAGATGGATGGATGGATGAAAGGAGGATGTGTGGATGGATGGACAGAGGGATGGATGGATGGATGTGTAGTTAGATGGATGGATGGATGGATAGATGGGTGGATGGATAGATGGATGGATGGACGGATGGATGGATAGATGGATGGATGGACGGATGGATGGATGGATGGAAGGATGGACGGGTGAATGGATGGATGGATGGATGGATGGATGGATGGATGGATGGATGGATGGATGGATGGAAGGATGGATGGGTGAATGGATGGAAGGATGGATGGATAGATGGATAGATGTGTGGATGGATGGAGGGATGGGTAAAAGTTTAGGAGTGAAGGTAGAGGCTGGGGACGTTCACAGGGAAGGCTGGTCTGAGGAGGGGATTTTTAGGTGGGGAGACTTGAGGACATTCTTAGGCCGAGGAGAGAGGCTAATCAGTGGAGTGAGGGCTCAGAGGAAACTGAGACTGCGAGACAGGAGCCTAGGGGGTAGTGCCCCCCATCCGTCTTGGCCTTTAGAGCCCCCCCCTCAACCACCGCATCCTCATCCCGCTCTGGATATGGGGTCTGAGGGAGTCTGAAGACGCGTGGGAGGGTTTGGCCTCAGGGATCAGGAGCCACAGGCACCTGCCTCGGTTTCCCCTCCTGTACAACGGGGCAAGTCACTTCTCGCTCGGTGGCTTCTGGCGTTTCGCATCGGCCGCCTGAGTAACAGCCGTGTCCCCGGGAAATGACGCAGGGTTTGTTATCAGTGACCCGCATTTCTTAGAAGGGAGAACAGGAAGGCGAGCACTCAGCCTTTTGTTGCAGTGTGTGGGGGTGGAGCCGGACCCTGGCTCTGGTCCACACAAGAGGGGATGGCGTTTGCCCAACTGTGTCCCCAGTGGACACTCCCATGGCCAGCCAGAGCACGGCACCCTATTCTGCCAATGGGGAAACAGTTCTGCAGACACTGCACAATTTCCTCCGGGCCACCCAGCCATGACCAGACACCAGATGTGTCCTCTGCCACGGGGGTGGAAATCAGGCAGCCTGGTGCAGTAGAAGCTCGGGACAGTCCCCTCTCCTCGCTGTGCCTCAGTTTCCCCATCTGTAAAATGGGCATAATATAATAGTGATTCCTGCCCCATGGGGGTGAAATGCAAGAATGCACAAGAAGCGTCAGCCCAGCGGCTGGCACACATTCTTGCTGCTATTAATACTGATCTCACACGTCCCAGATGTGACTGGGGTCTGGGGTGCCACGTCGCGGGGTCCCGACTGGGCCTGGGCTCTGAAAGAGGGCGGTTCCCCGTAGGATCGTGGACGTCGGGGGCCAGAAATCAGAACGCAAGAAGTGGATCCACTGCTTCGAGAACGTGATCGCCCTCATCTACCTGGCCTCGCTGAGCGAGTATGACCAGTGTCTGGAGGAAAATAACCAAGAGGTGAGGGGCCTCCGTGGGTGTGGGGGTGCCGGTTCCTCTGCTCTTCTCCCCCTCGATGGTCCAGGGACCCGCAGCTGAGCAGGAGGCCCCAGGTCGCTCTTGAAGCGGCCTGTGTGTGTCCACAGTGGCCTTGAGCATCGCTGTCCACTCTTCCGTGATTAGACCACTGAGCCCCAAGACCAAGACACAGACCCACAAGCGCTTGTGTAGCCAGGACCCCGGATGCGCACACACACAGACTCACACACACAGACACACACACACACTGAGGGATGCTCAAGCTGGGGACACGGCCCCCCCAGAAGCACAACACAAGCTGTCCCTGGAAAACAGTTCACACTGCAGCGTCCCGTCCTGCTGGTGTTCAGAAAGACTGGGGATCACTTCTTTCCAAGTGTGAACTCTTGTATTAACAGCCGGGTGTGGAGGTCGGGCACATTATCATCTCTGGAGCGTGCACTTCTAGGGGTTATGGTTTCATGCAGTTTCAGGATCTGAGGGTCAGATGTTACCATTCGGAGTTTCGGGTTGAATCAGATGGAACGAATTTGAGGTCGTTCTGACACAGCTCTTGCTCAAATCCAGCCACACGAGGTGTCCTGTTGGCTAGGGCTGCCATAGCAAAGTGGGAAGCTGAAACGACAGAAATTTGTCCTCTCCCGGTTCTGGAGGCTGGAAGTCCGAGATCAAGGTGTCGGCAGGGCTGGGCCCTTCTGAGGGAGAATCTGTCCCATTCTCTCCCAGCTTCTGGGGGTCCTGGCATCTTGGTGCCTTGGCTTGTAGGCGCATCACCCCATCTCCATGTGGCGTCCTCCCTGTGTCCTAACTTCCCCTTTCTCTAGGGACACCAGTCATTGGACTTAGGGCCACCCTACTCCCGTGTGACCTCTTAACTAATTACATCTTCAAAGACCTTATTTCCAAATAAGGTCACATTCTGAAGTTCCGGGTGGACATGAATTTGAGGGGGACACTAGTCAATCCAGTTCAGGCACAAAACCATGTCGGGCACACACGGGCATCTGGCCACAGCAAAGCATGAGCACACCCCCCTCAGACCCAGCTGGGCAGGAATTGGGGAGCCCTTAGCCCCTGGACGGGGTCCGACAGCCCTATCTCCACGTGAGGGGAGGGCTCCTGTTCGGGCCGAGCTGGCCGGCTGGAGCAATGACCTGCCTCTGCCCCCCGACCCAGAACCGAATGAAGGAGAGCCTGGCCCTGTTTGGGACCATCCTGGAACTGCCCTGGTTCAAAAGCACCTCCATCATCCTCTTCCTCAACAAAACCGACATCCTGGAGGAGAAGATCCCCACCTCTCACCTGGCTACCTACTTTCCCAGCTTCCAGGGTGAGTGGTTCTAGAACTTTCTATACTCTTCATCTCCCAAAAGCAGATCCCAAGAGAGATGCTGGTCGAGGCCCTCCTCCAGCCTGAAGTCAGTGGCATTTCAAATACGATCGGACAGACTTGAGTTCGAGATCCTTCCACTGCCCACCCTCTCTCTGCTCTGTTTCCCCATCTGTAGAATGGGGATAAAATCACAGAAGCCTTCGTCCTCAAGGCAGTTGCTTAAAGTGGGGGATTCTAACAAGACGTATACTATAGATCTTTTGAGTGTGGGTCTGCTGGATAGAGTTCCTTGTCATAAACTATACCCAGAAGGCATCAAAAACTGTTTCCAGAATCTGCCTGGATTTCTGAAACTTTTTTCTAATTTTTCACAGTCATCTCATCTGTATCTAATTGGATAGCAAATTGAAAAAAAAATCTGTGGCTGAGTTTTGAACAAGTCTTTCCAAAGCACAAGGCTCAGTTTTCATAGATACAACCTTCTTACGTGTTGTGATTGTAGCTAATAGATTTGTGCAGTGTCTCATTCAAGTGTAATTTGTCAAGACAGTACAAAGGGCATAAAGAGGTTGGCGGAACAAACTTACAGCGCAAGCCGAGGTGCAAAGGGCCCCAGCTACCAGAGCGGAGCCTGGTACGTGTTGGGCACCATTTGGTAAATCTTACAGGATTAGGGGTTTTGGTGAATCCAGGGAAGGGATGTGTTAGCCAGCACTTTCCCCAGAGTGCCACTGTGAGGATAAAGGGAGCTTGAAGAAGTATCCTAGCTGGGTAGCAAAGTACCCCCAAAGTTAGGGGCTTAAACCAGCCATTTCACTTTGCTCATGATTTTGTGGGTCAGAAATTTGGGAAGGGTTGAGGTGGGTAAGTTCATCTGTGATACATACGGCATTCTGAAATCAAGGTGTCTGCAGGGCTGGTTCCTTCTGGAGCTCTGAGGGAGAATCTGTTCCAGGCCTGTCTCCTGGCTTCTGGTGGTGCCTGCAATCTTTAGCATTCCTTGGCTTATAGCTGCATCACTCCAATCTCTGTTCTGTCTTCACATGGCCTTCTCTCTGCTTCTGTGTGTCTCTCCTCTTCTTATAAGGACACTAGTCATTGGATTTAGGGCCCGCCCTAATCCAGTATGGTCTCATTTCAATTTAACTGGTTACATATGCAAAGACCCTATTTCCAAATAAGGTCATATTCTGAGGTTCTGGGTGGACATGAATTTTGGGGAACACTATTCACCCCAATACACAAGCAACCGTGGTAGATGAAGCCCTTAGCACATCTTTGGCATAGACTAAGCTTTGGTGACGTCACCATGGGTTTGACCCCTGGCCTTGTCAGATCTCAGAGCCCAGGTGACTAATCCAGCCAGTCATATCCGTAAGACTCAGGGTCTGGGTGACAGATGTCAACTTGTTCCAGGATGGTGGCTGGGATGCCCCTTACCCCCTTCCCAGCTGAGCAGCCCTGGGAGTGGGCCCATGGCTTGCAGAGTTTGGGAACAGGGATAAAGTGGATGGTTTTGAGGGATTTTTTTTTTCTTCAGGTCAAAGAGAACCCCCCTGAGTCATCCTTTTCTTCCAGCCAATAAGGCTGGAGTATCCTTTGCCAACTTCTGGCTCTTGGGTGTGTGACAATAATAAGAAACCAATAACAACAGCTAACACATCTAACACTCATGTTAGCACCCTCCTATCTTGACTTGTTTAATTCTCATTAAAAAAGTCTGTGCAGTAGGACTCATTCTTCTTACTGCTATAGACGTGGGGAAACAGAAGCACAGAGAGGTGCAGTCGTTTGCCAAAAGTCACACAGCCATTGAGTGGCAGAAGCAGGATTCCAACCCAGGCTGTCTGGATTCAGAGCTGGCAGGCCTTCACCACGATGCTAACCTGCCTGATGGTAGCACACACTCATGACGGCTTCCGATTATTAAGCACGGAGCCCCCGCCATGATTGCATTGAATCTTCACAACAACTCTGAGAGGCCTGGGACTGGTCTGATCCTTATTTTACAAATGAGGAAACTGAGGTTCACAGAGGTGACAAGGATTAATGTATAAGGTAACCCAACTAGTGGGTAGCAGAGCCAGGATTTGGGCGCCAGAAGCCCTTAACTCACGTTGCACTTTCAACATATATAGAGAGAGGGCCTCCCATGTGCCTCACGAGGGAGGCCAGCCCTCCCCTTCTCCTGGCCTTGATTTCCCCATCTGTACCTCCCCAAGACGTCTTTTTCTGCAGCTCCAGCCTCCCATCCCCCCAGCTCCAAGCCCAGCCAAGAGAGAGGGTGTCTCTTTAACACAGTTCTGCCCAAAGTCCCAGAGCCGAGTCTCATTGGTCCATTCCAGCTCATGTTACTGACCCAGGCCCTACCCTGATGCTCCCATTGGCTGAGCCTGAGTCATGTGACTTGCCAGAAAGACCAAAGATGGCGACCGCCTGTAGGAACCGTGGTGGGTGGTCCCTGGCGCCCTGATTCCCTGATGTTGCCCATCTAGGGAAGAGGGTCCCCAGAGGGAGGGTCTCCCGCGTGCCCTGACCACCCACCCCCGCCCCGCAGGCCCCAAGCAGGACGCGGAGGCGGCCAAGCACTTCATCCGGGACATGTACGTCGGCATGTATGCCGGCTGCATGGACGGCGCCGACGGGGACCAGAAGGGCATGCGCTCCCGGCGCCTCTTCAGCCACTACACGTGCGCCACGGACACGCAGAACATCCGCAAGGTCTTCAAGGACGTGCGGGACTCGGTCCTGGCCAGATACCTGGACGAGATCAACCTGCTGTGACCCAGGCCCCGCCGCCCCCGGGCTCGGGCCGCGCATGGCAGGCGGGACCTGCGGGCGAGTGGGCAGGAGGTCCGCCTGGATGCCCCCTGGGGCTCCAGCCCCAGGCTCAGGTGGCGGAAGGGCCACGAGAGAGTCGGAGATGGAAAGCTGGTCGCCGCCCAGTCCCTGCTCTGCCTCCCTTGACTCAGTTTACCTCCCCGGAGAGGGAGCACTTGGGATGCCATGGTGGAGGAAAAGGTGAAGAGAGCAGGGGACTGAGGACTTGGTGGGTGGAGGACAGACCCCACAGCCGGGTATGTCCACTCCTGGGCAGGGGTATGTCCCCTCCCTGGGACCCCCTGGGGGTGATGCACACGCCCCAGGACCGGGGGAGTGGTCCTCCAGGCGGAGGGATGTGGACTCTGGCGCCCCCTAGCGGACAGGAGGCGACACCTTCCAGCCTGAGGCCTGGGTACCGCTGGCACTTCCCTTTTCTGCCGGGGAAGACACCCCTGGAAGACGCTGCCCTTTCAGAGCCTCGTGGCTCCAAGTGTGTCCTGCCCCAGTTTGCAGACGAGGGAAACCGAGGTCCACAGGCATCACCGCTCTTTCCCAGGCTGGGATCCAGGCTCCCTGCATCTTAACATCCTTTGGTATTTATTCCCTCACCTTCTGCTGGGCCCCTTGCCTGGGGGACATTAAAGGATGACATTCTGGAGACCTGTGATTTCTTAGGGGCGTCCTGTTGATCCCCCTGTGATCCCTTCTCAGGCTCCTTTCCCAGGTGGGGCAGCAAGATGGCGAAGGAAGGAAAAAAGTTCTACTTGTCCACCCACCTGTGCAGGGCAAAGTAGCCAGAGCTATGCGGGACTGTGCACACTTTGAGCCAGGATGTGCAGTCCAATGACTCTCCCAGTCAGGGGGCGTGGGGACAATGTTTCAGCCCACCCACTGTTGCCACTCACCCCAAATTCCAGCAGCAGCCATCACTCATCTCTGATGAAAGTGAAGAAGACGATAGCTCCGCATACTCCAGACCGTGGTCCCCCACCATCCTCAGGGCAGCCCCGTGTGGCACAGCCCTATCACCCCCATTTTACAGCTGAAGAAACTGAGGCACGGAGAAACTGAATAATTTGACTAAGGCGACACACCTGGGAGGTGGCAGAGCCAAGATCCTATGATTCATTCAATACCTTTTATTTTACCTTAAAAACAATAAACTTTATTTTTTAGAATAGTCTTAGGTTTACAGAAAAATTGTGAAGATAGTACAGAGAGTGGCTTTATAAAACCAAACCCAATTCCCCCATTATTAACATCTTACCTTAATATGGTACATTTGTTTACAATTAAATTTTTTCACCCCAAAGCCCCAGTAAATAGTTGTATGTCATAGTTGCACATCCTTCTAGTTGCTGTATGTGGGACGCGGCCTCAGCGTGGCCGGAGAAGTGGTGCGCTGGTGCGCGCCTGGGATCCGAACCCGGGCCGCCAGTAGCGGAGCGCGCGCACCTAACCGCTAAGCCACGGGGCCGGCCCCATTTGTTTACAATTAATGAACCAATGTTGACACTTGATTAACTGAAGTCCAGACTCTATTTGGACTACCTTAGTTTTTCCCTAATGTCCTTTCTCTGTCCAAGAACCCCATCCAGGATCCCACGTGACATGGGTCATCACATCTCCCTAGGCTCCTCTGGGCTGTGATGGTTTCTCTGACTTTCCTCGTTTGTGATGACTTTGACAGGTTTGAGGTGTGCTGGTCAGGTATTGTGTGTTTCCTGGGGCTGCTGTGACACAGTACCACAGACTGGGGGGCTTAAGACAACTGAAATATATTCTCTCCCAATTCTGGAGCCAGAAGTCTGAGATCAAGGTGACAGCAGGGCCACACACCCTCTGCAGGCTCCAGGGGAGGGTCCTTCCTGCCTCTTCCAGCTTCTGGGGCCCCAGCGTCCCCTGGCTTGTGGCCGCATCCCTCCAATTTCTGCCTCTGTTTTCATATGGCTTTCTTCTCTTGTGTGTGTCTGTGTCCCAATTTTCCTCTTCTTATAGAGACACCAGTCACAGTGAATTAGCGCCCACCTAATTGTTGCTGGAGGAGGGAACAGGCCCAAGGTTCTCTGTGTCTCTGTCTCTCTGTCTCTGTCTCTCCAGGAGACCCATAACAACATATCTGGTTGCTTCTCTTTCTCTCCCTTTCATGTTAAAATTGATCAGTGGGTTTTTGGGGCATTGGTTGGCTCCATCCATTGTGAATTTCCCCAAGAACTTCTCTCCTAATGGTCTTAGCATCTTAGATACATCATTAGGGGTTGAAAAAATGGTGATTTCTACTACTTTCATTTCTTCTGTATTTATTGCCTGGAATTATTCTACTAAAAAAGTGCTCACCCATAAGAATTGAAAGCAGGGTCTTGAAGAGATGTTTGCACATCCATGTTCATAGCAGCATGATTCACAACAGCCAAGAAGTGGAAGCATCTCAAGTGTCCATCGATGGAGGAAAGGATAAGCAAAGTGTGCTCCATCCATACAGGGGAATATTACTCATCCATGAAAAGGAAGGAGATTCTGACACCTGCTACCACGTGGATGGACCTTGAGGACATGATGCTCAGTGACATGAGCCAGACACAGAAGGACAGACACTGTGTGATCCCCTCACAGGAGGCCCCTAGAGGAGTCACATCCACAGAGACAGAAAGTGGATGGTGGGGCCAGGGGCTGGGGGAGGGGAGGGGAGTCAGTGTTTCCTGGGGACAGAGTCTCAGTTTGGGAAGATGAGAAAGTTCCGGAGACAGATGGTGGGGATGGTTGTACAACAATGTGAATGTGCTTCATGCCGCTGAGCTGTGCACTTAAAACTGATTAAGATGGTAAATTTTATGTTATGTGCATTTTACTACAATTAAAATAATTTTTACAATGTAGTATGATAAGACAAACCTCTCCCTTATCAAGTAATTCGTTACCCAGAAATCAAGGCAGTGCAGGAAAGACAGGATCAATGCCTGATTCTGGCCTTTTATTTAGCAGTTTTTAGAATAATGAGTTCGTTCCCCAATATCCACCAAAGATAACCAAACAGACTCTTTTCTTTTGTGTCGCTGTGAACTCACGGATGTTAAGGTTTGATGTGTAGCCATACGTAGCAGGTTGTATTCTTTCCTTCTGCCCACACCGTTCTGTCTTTGGCGAGTGGAAACCTCTTTGAGTCGGCTCCTCACTCCCCCTGACACGACCCCGGTGGCCCTAAGGGCTCAGAGTTTGTTTGTTTGTTTTATAATTTTATTTATTCATTTATTTTTCCCCCAGAGCCCCAGTAGATAGTTGTATGTCATAGCTGCACATCCTTCTAGTTGCTGCATGTGGGACGCAGCCTCAGCATGGCCGGAGAAGCGGTGCGTCGGTGCGCGCCCGGGATCCGAACCCGGGCCGCCAGCAGCGGAGTGCACGCACTTAACCGCTAAGCCACGGGGCCGGCCCGAGGGTTCAGAGTTTTGACACAGCCAAATGCTTTCAGCTGACCCTGCACTTCCCCGGCCCCAGCCCTGGCCCCAGCCATTTCTCCAAGGAGCCCTGCTCCCTTTCAACGGGAGAGGATATTTAGAGACCACCATCTGACCACAAAGTTAGGACATCTATATGTTCTTCACTCATCTTTTTACTTTGAAAATGTTTCAAACCTCCAGATGTTGCAAAACCATCACAATGAACTCCTGTATACTCTTCATCTAGGTCAGGGGTCAGCACATTTCCTGCTCTAAGCCTGTTTTGTGAATAAAGTTTTATTGGCACTCGGCCCCCGCCCACCATTTACATATCCTGGGCGGTTTTCGCTACAACCTGAGAGTTGAGTAGAGGCGTCAGAGACTGTCTGGCCCTCAAAGCCGAAAATATTGACTCATTGGCCCTTTGCAGAAAAAAATTGCCCACTCTTGAGCTAGATCCAGCCATGGTTAGCCTTTTGCTTTATATCTCTCAATAAACATAATCTAAAAGTATATAATACATTCTATAGAGAATATACACATCCTTATTCTTTTTCTTAATTCTTCTAAATAATTTGAGAGTTACTTGGAGACATCATGCACCTTTACCCAAACCAGAGGGTGCTGATACAATAATAATCGATACAATATAATGTATCAATCAATCTAGCATTGATACAATGATATTATCTAATATACAGCCCATATGAAATTGTCATCAGTTGTCCCAATATCGTCTTTTACGACAACTTTCCTTCCATTTCTGGCATCCAGTCAGGGACCACTCATTGCATTTAGTTTCATGCATTTGGGTCTCCTTTCATCCGAGACAGCCTTGGGCTTTCTTGGTCTCTCATGACCTTGTATGACCTTGACTCTTTCGAAGAGTACAGGCCAATTATTCCGTGGGAGTCCCTCAGTGTGGGTTTGTCCCTTGGTTCCTAAGATCAGATGCAGGTTATACATTTTTGGCGGGAATATCCTAGAAGTGACATGTCCTCCTTGGTGCACCGTATCAGGAGGCCCCCGACGCCCATTTATCGCATTCCCGGGGATGTTTACTTGGACCTCTTGGTGAAGGTGACATTCACCAGCCTTCTCGAGTCAGACATTTTTCTCTTTGTGCTTGATACGCAATCTGTAGGAAGATATTTTGAGATTATGTAACTATCCTGCTCCCCAACAAACTTCCACCCAATAATTTCAGCATCCGTTGTTGATTCTTACCTGGATTAATGAATGCTGTGATCGTTACAAAATGGCAATTTTTCTCACTCTGTTATTGGGTAGATGCCTAGGAGAGGAATTGCTGGCTCACGTGGAAAGATCATTCTTTTTTTGTTTCCTATTTTTTTTTAATGTGGTAGAATACACATAACATAAAATTTATCATCTTAAGAATTCTAAGTGTACAACTCAGTGGTATTAAATACATTCATAACGTTGTGCAACCATCCCCACCATCCACCTCCAGAACTTTCTCATCTTCCCAAATTGAAACTCTGTCCCCATGAAACACTGACTCCCCATCCCCTCCCCCAGCCCCTGGCCCCACCATCTACTTTCTGTCTCTATGATTTTAAGATCATTCATTGTTGATGCTCAAATGGCCCTGGGTCTGGCCAGCAGATCCCCTTCAGGCTGGCTTCTGTGTCTCTCTGACAGGTCCCCATCCTTCT